CCCCTGACACACACCCACAATATACAAGAGTAAGGCTTCATTTTAAGCTTTTGTGCAATCACCTCTATGTACACTACACAAATGCATGTAAATCTGGACAAAAATATTTTTTGAAATCAAATTGATGAATGTTGTAGATGTTTGATTTTTAGAATATAATTTGACATTTTTCTGGTTCCGAGATAGCAAAACCCCTTGCTGAAAGGAGTATTTCCAGGGTGAAGGGGAGGGACTTCTGGTGGCAAATATCAGGGGTTAGGGGGCAGGACTTCTGGTCACAAGATGGTGACCAGAGGGTGGGGACCCGTCAAGGGGTGGAGCTACTCGTGTGGCCCTCAACAGCTTGCCAAAACTCGGTAAGCGGCCCTCCACCCGAAATAATTGCCCGTCCCTGATCTGGAAGATGGGATGGATTGCACCCTAAGCAAATTTCTGGGTGTCACCAAGCTGGGGGGAGTAGTGGATATGCTGGAGGGTAAGGCCAGGATTCAGATTGACCTAGACGAATTGGAGGATCGGGCCAAAAGAAATCTCATGAGGTTCAACAAGGATAAGTGCAGAGTCCTGCACTTTGCATAAAACAATCCCATGCACCAGTACAGACTGGGGGCTGACTGGCTGGGCAGCAGCTCTGCAGAAAAGGACCTGGGGGTTAAAGTGGATAATAAGCTGAATATGAGCCACATGCCCTTTTTGCCAAAAAGACTAACAGCATACTGGGCTGCATTAGTAGGAGCGTTGCCAGGAGATCGAGGGAAGTAATTATTCCCCTCTGTTCTGTGCTGGTGAAGCCACATCTGGAGTACTGTGTTCAGTTTTGGGCCCCCCACTAAAGAAAAGGTGTGGACAAATTGAGGAGAGGCCAGCAGGGGGCAATGAAAATGGTTCAGGGGCTGGGGCATATGACTTACAAAGAGAGGCTGAGGGAACTGGGGTTATTTAGCCTGCAGAAGAGAAGACTGAGAGGGGTTTGACAGCAGCCTCTAACTACCTGAAGGGTGGTTAAGGATGGAGGTAGGCTGCTCTCAGTGGTGGCAGATGACAGAATAAGGAGCAGTGGTCTTAAGTTGAAGGAAGGGAAGTTTAGGTTGGATATTAGGAAAAACTATCTCTCACTAAATTCATTGGCCTAAGGAGGGTGGCGAAGCACTTTAATGGGTTACTGAGACATGTGGTAAACTCTCCATCTTCGGAGGTTTTTAAGGCCTGGCTCGACAAAGCCCTGGCTGGAATGATCTATTTGGGGATGGTCCTGCTTTGAGTAGTGGGCTGAGCTAGATGACCTCCTGAGGTCCCTTCCAGTCCTAATTTTCCATGATTCTATAATTGAAATCATTGGGAGGAAAGAAATACAGCAAAAGCCACATTATCCGGCACTTTAGCAACTAGAAAGATCCACTAACTGGCATCTGTACATACAAATCTTCCTTCCAAGGGATGTAGCAAAAGCGAAACCGGAAGTCTCGCTTCCGGTTTCTCCACTGCAAGCTGAGTCCTACTTCTTCCTTGTGGATCATAGCCTGGGGCAAAGCAGCCTGTGTGTGGGGCCCCCCTCCCTGTCCCCGGCACACTGACGCCAGGGAGTGAAAGCCCTGTTGCACGGGACATGGCACATATGATTAACCGGCATCCCCCATTCCCGGGGGATGCTGGATAACAGAGTTTTTACTGTATTTCTTTCTTTACTCTCAGAGAGTACGTGAGAAAACTAACGGAAGTGAACGTATGGAACAAGCATAGTTAAAGCAGCGTCAGGGGGTTCCATGCAGACATAATGACCACAATTTTAAGCAGAACGTTCTCTGAGTAGGGAAAAACAGAACAGGTACTGCTGTTTTGTGGACAAGGGACCTCTTCTTGCTGCTTGAGAGAGAGTTTTAGAAGTAATACATTTGCTTCTAGCAGAAGCTCATTTCTTCAGGTACATAATTGTTTTATCCAGTGTCAGTTAATACTTTCAGAAGAGAGTCTATTAAGAAAGCCATCTTCTTTCTTCCTATAGATTTCTACCACTCTGGACATGATGCAGCATGTGGTTTAAAAATGTCTGAATAGCAGGTAGATTTAATGGGCGGTGTTATACAGGGGCTCATATTTTATTTAATTATACTAAATTTGTAGCAAGTTTTTACTAAACACTCGGAGTGATTTTTTGTTTGTTTGTTTGTTTGTTTTTGTTGTTGTTCTTTTTTCAGCTGTTTACAGTGTTCTTTCAATTTCCCCATGAGCCAAACATAATTTGGAGTATGGGCTTGACAACCTTCTTCCAGCTATTTTTAATGTAGCTTTGTTCAAAAAATGTATTTTAGACTTTTATTATGATCAAAAACATCATGACATTACATTGTATTATAATTTGGCTGTTGAAGTGGGTTTGCACAAATATTTCAAAGTAATGTGTTTCCATGCAATGACCAGGTCTAGAAAAGTTCAACCGCAAAGCATGGAAACGTTTTGGGGTTTTTGCAAGTATATAATATCTGGGTCCTAATAGGCTTGTTTTTTAAATGTTAACTGCCATCTAGCAGTTACTACAGACAATTGCTGTTATAAACATATTGAGACAGAATCTGTTTTTTCATTACACTGGTTTTAATCTGCATTAACTTGACTGACATCTCAGTGTTTTCCAAGTAATTAAGTGAATGCAATCTTCTACTTAAGCAGTGTAAATGACATCAGAATCTGACCCTTGTATATAGGGAAACATCACCCTCTGAAGAATAGTTGCATTTAAGTTGGCAGCTGTTAGAATGACACCAGTAATGCTACAAAACTACTTATATGGTAGAAAAATTTCCTATCACATGCTTCAATGAGACTATTTGAGTAGACATAATATCCTGTAGTTACCAAAGGATGTTTATGGGCCAGATTTTCCTTTGCACTATAATCACTCTTCACTGCATAAGTAGCAGTCCTCTAGTCTTAAGGAAGATTCCACTGGTGGCACTGGATTGTACTGGTGGGAGCCAATGCAATAACTTTTATGCCACAACCATTTATAGCCAACAGTGTAAACCGGGAGGCTAGAATAACAGCCCTGAGTAGGCAGACTATTGGACCCAGCTACCACCATCGCTTGTATGCATGGTGGCATGGGGAGAAGCCCCACATCAGCAGGCTGCTGCTACCACGGGCCAGATCCAGCCCATAGAATATAGGTTGCCACCCTCCTGATGTAGGCAATGTGGCTAGAGGGAAGAGGAGCTGTTGCTTGCCTGCACTGTTGTGATTTGCTGCTATATTGGACCAGTTGGCAGTTGATAGTGGTCAAAGTTTTCTTTAGTACAGATAATACAGAACTGGAGGAGCAGGGAGAAGGTCAAAGCATTTTGTATGCATCACATCTTTACCTATCCCCAACAATGCCTACATATATGCTGTTGTTCAACTGCATCCAAACACATAGGCCTAGCAGTCGGTTCTTTTTCGAGGAAGCAAGTGCTATGAAAATACCATTTAACTGAAAGATATCTCTACCAGCACAGTATCGACCTGCGCACACACCTTTTAACTCCCACCACGCACTTACACATCCACACATTCTGGGATACTAATTCAGACCTGCCCCAGAGGAATAGGAGCATAGATGAAGGAGGAAGAACCTTCAGGGTCATCGACTCTAGCCTCTACTTTCACAGGCAATGGAATCATTTTCATATATTTATTGAGTTTCATTTAAAACTAGTTAGGTTTTTGCTCCTAGTATTTTGATTAGTGAGGTTCTGAAAGAGCTTTAATGGTTGAAAACATTCTTCCAATATCCAATCTAAGTTTTATCCATATTTAGATTATTGAATGACAAACAAGTGCAGAATGAGAGCTTTCTTTCAGCACCTGAATGACCTTCTTTGTAACCCCACTTAACTAAGCAGATATGTCAGCCCAAAGCTAAATAAGTAATGTCACTATTTCTGCTTCATAGTTTCATTACTATGAAGACCAAGTAAATCTCAAGAGAAAGTTAAAAATGGGGATTTTTACCTTGAGAGTATAAATTGAACAAACGAAAACATCCAAAATGCTTGTGCCCTTAAGTGTGCCCCTGATGCTTCTACACTGAAATGGAGTGACTTCATATATTTTTATCTGAGCAGGTCGAGGCTGCTTTGGTCTTTGGTAAGATCATCAAATGACTGATGCTGTTCTTGAGATCCACTTCAGTGGAAGATGTAGGGAATATAGGTTTAATTCTTTTATTCAAACTCAGTAAATGGTTTGGGACAATTAATTTCCAATTGTTTCCCAGTAGAGCAGATTTACTTGTATATTAATGAGGCACAGGTGTTAGGCCCCTGGTGTCTGCATGCCTGGGAGGCATATTTAGGTTGTTTATCTAGTCAGCCATAGGTACTGCAAGGTACTCAAGCTTGCCTTTAACAGTTTATACAGTGAGGGTTTTTAATTTTTTGATGTTTTTTTTAAATTTGCTAGCACCTGTTAAAATTTTAAAACTGATCATGTAGAAAAAAGTAGAAGTGATTTCAATAGTAAATAGCACTAAATGTTAAAGAAAGTCATCTTCTATTATGCTTAACTGCCCAGCTTGAAAGTAAGAAGAAAAGAAGGTTCATTTAAGCAAATATGTCATGTGAGGAACTAATACAGTCAACAGTACACTTTTCTATTGCATATTTTTGGAATAGGTGTTTCTTTGTCTACGGCTGAAACATGAATGTGCTTATATTAATATTCATTTTTCTTGTTTATTCACTGAACTGCAGTACCAACATTTTAGAGGAAATGGAATAGCCTCCATAGACATTATGAATTTCAGTAGCTGGCATAATTATAGCGATCTACATATTCATTAAATCCAGAGAAGAAATGTGTCCAAAAAGACAGCCATGCGTTTAGAAATGGTACACAACTAAATATATACATTAAAAAGTTCCTTTCCTCTGCTTATCCAAAATTACTTAGTGTGATATAGCCCTTAAATCAGCTGAGGCTTTTTTTAGATGTTCATTCCTTTTTTTTCCCCCCCTCTCATGTAGTAAAGAATGGGAAGAACTATTTGTAAACAACAATTACTTGGCAACAATACGGCTGAAGGGGATTAATGGGCAGCTGAGAAGCAGCAGGTTCCGTAGTGTTTGCTGGAAGGTAAGAAGAGAAAATATTTATTTACAGTTTGTGGTTGCAATATATCAACACATTACCTGATGCGCTGAAAGATTATTGATGCGAAGAATCACTGAATTTTCCAAGAGACTTCATCCCAATGTTTTCCTGTCCATTTTTATAATTCATAGGGCATTCACTAATCATATTGAGTTGCCTTATTGCTGAATTGCTGGTGATAGTGAAGAATTCCTATGAAAGAGCATCTTTGTGTTGAATTACATTTCATTTAATAGTAAAATTCATTGCAATGTAACTGTTTCCTGTCACTTTTTTTTACACTGAAATGATGTGTTGAGATTAAAGGGGAAGTTTTGGTCATGGTTTGTATTATAATGATTAACTTGGGCTGTTTGAAAACCTATCAGCTCCTTCTCCACAATAAGCAGTTGAGATGCCTCCCTATTGATATGTGAATGAAAGGCTCTCATACCTTGAAAGACTCATACTATGGCTCTCTTGTAATGACTTGGATAAGAAAGAAACCAGGCTAATATAGTTCTGTAAGACAGTAAAGGCCCTCTAAAGCCTCTCTTTCTCTTGGGCAAAATAAATAATAGGGATTGGAGTCCTAAAGCAGTATGTTGCAAAGCAATCAGGCCCTTCTTTCTTTTTCACTAGGGTAGGATTGAAAATTTTGATAAAAGAGAACATCTTTCTAAATAGTCTTTCTGTGTGTGACCATGATAACTTAAGTCACTTCACTTGAATTGGAATTTTTCCTGCTTCCCATTACTAGAAGGACCTACAAAAAATATCAGATACACTGCATGTGTGTGTGTGTGTGTGTGTGTGTGTGTGTGTGTGTGTGTGTGTATATAAAAAGAGGATGAGAAACTGAATGTCTAGTGTGGTGCCAGTTTTTGCATAAATGGATGTTTCTTTTCTGCAGTTTCATTGATTTTAAGTATGTTGCATAATTTCCATTCATGATCTGCCTACAACTCCTCTTGTGTATTTTTAATTTGGTCTCTTCCTGTATTCTTTGTCTGATTGGGAAACTGAATCTGAATTGGCCAGAGCCCCAGCTGTGGTAAATTGTCATAGCTCTATTGTCAATGAAGTCGTGGCTACTTATACTAATCAAACATGTTGCATCTTATAACTTTTACCATTTCTAGCTTCTCAGCTGTTGGAACTTAAAAGTACATACTTTCAGGTTTTAGGCTTCTGGCACACGTTTGTTTAAAGGTGCAATGGGATCTGATCCGAACAGTCATGCCTCTTGCCATGCCAGACACGCGTGGCAGGAGGCTCTCCCTGCACTGACAAGTTGAAAGCTGGGTGCCTGATTGCAGGGCTGACAGTTGGCTGATTGTCAGTTAATTTCGGCTGATTGTCAGTCCTGACTAGACGGTCCCATTTGAGACCCAGGGCTATCTGGAGACTGGGGCCAGCAAACAGCTGATTATTGGCCCTAACCCCAGGCAGCTATGGCCAGGCTGCCCAGTGGTGGGAAGCAGAAGCTGCCTCCATTCAGTTCTTTAAGCCCTGCACCTAGCAGCTCTGGCTGAGCTTCACGGTGCGGTGGAGCAGAGGCTCCTGTCAGCCAGAACTGCCCTGCGTCGGGTTTAAAGCCTCCAGTGGGAGAAGCCCCCCAGTCCCCTTCACTGTCGCATCTCCCCCTCTTCTCCAGCCAGGAAAGGGGAGTGGGCTGATTGTCCATGTCAGTTTCAGGACAACATGGGAACTGGTGGGAGATTCCATTACAGTTCCAGAATGGGGGGAGCTGTCAACCAAGCCTTGCAATCAGGTATCAACTCAGGCATGATGGAAACCAACCACAAAAAATTATTACACATTTTGTGGAATAATTTGTGGCTGGTTTTTCATTTTGTCACACCATGAATTGCCTGAATGTGAGGCTGGGTTATTTTAAGACGCGATTAACAGGTTAATTGTGTCTTAAGTATAACATCTGCCAAGGGCCTCAGTTCTGTCAATTTCAGATGTAGATTCTGATTTTGTTAAATCATGTCGCTAAAATGGTTTAGACTGTCCTATAGGACTTACTTGAAAAGTTGCATTAAATTGGTTAAACTTCTTACATGCATGTTTTGATTTATTGACAGCTGTTTCTAAATGTTCTACCCCAAGATAAATGTCAGTGGATTGGTAAAACTTCAAACTTAAGAACATCATATAACAAGATTAAAGAAATAGTAAGTATAACCAAACATTCTTCTACACCTGGATATTGGTATAGTACTTCTAAAATTAGAACCTGAAAATAGAAACCTTGTTGGTTTTTTTTTGTTTGTTTGTTTTTTCCCCCTAGCATATAACAAACCCTCGAAAAGCTGGGCAGCAAGACCTGATTATCAACAATCCACTTTCACAGGATGAGGGGGTAAGATGAACTGCAGTGCCACAAAAATTCTGCCAAACAAGCAACAAAAATTTCCTGGTTTGCTTCACCAGATTGGTAATAACAGGGGAAATCAAATAGATGTATTGTAGTATTGTTCTGTAGGTTGTGAGAAGGAGTTGCTATTGAGCATCTGGAGGTGTTTCCCTTTTTCTTGTTGGTGTGCTGCCTATTCAGCGATTGGTACCTTGCTGTACCTGTCCTGAGTTAGGTTTCCAAGAGCGAGGACTATTTCTCGGGGTTTTGCTCAAGTTGCAATTCGATGGTTATAATTAAGATATTAGTAAATTTAACTGAGAAAAGGAAAGCTACTAGTCTTAAGGGGACAGTGTCAAACATTTTAATATCTGTTATGCTTGCAGTGCACTAATATAAATTAAATTAGAATTCTTTCTTTACAAGTTTTATGTTCCTGCAGTTGGCAGACTTTTTTCCCCCTCCTTTGAAAATAGTCATGAATTGTTTACAGGGTGGGGAGAGGATGGGATTTTTTTTTAAACCCTATTAGCTGTTCTTTGTCAGGTGGTATAGTCAGCTACTGCCACTGTGTTCTGAAAGCTAAGTAAATGAAAGAACTGCTGTGGATTTTGTTCCTCCTAAGTTCTGATCAATACTGTCAAGGCACCATGCTCCTCCAGGGAAAGCTGACTCTACATTCCACTTTCCTCAACAGTACAGCAATCTCATGATATCCGTTTCAGTCCTGCAAAGGGAAAAAGGAGAAGTTTTCATTTAGATTAGCCTTTGCAGGGACCCAGTAAAAAGGGCAAGGAAGTGATGGGGTAGCACAAGCACAGCTACAGAATGACTGAAGTTGACTCAAATTAGATTTAATTTTAGGATTGGTTAGTTTGCTGTATTTCTACCTTTCTGCTCCTGATATGAGAACTTCCTTTTAAAATGATCAATACCAATTTGCACAGGATGTCTTTTTCATTGTGGGTGTTCAATTGTTATACATTCCCAACTTAATTTACCTCTGCCAGGGCAAAGAAGCTCAATTGCAAATAATTGGCCAGTGTGCAATTTAAGCCAATTTATAATTAATTTTTAAGTATATAGAAGCAATGTGGTCTAGTGGATTGAGCATAGGGATAGAAGCCAGGAATTTATAAATTTAATCCCTGCTCAACACTGATTTGCTGTGATGCCTTGGGCAACTCACTAATCTGTCTTTCTCATCTGTAAAATAGTGATAATACCTACCTCCCAGGAATGTTGTGGATTAATTGGTTAATATTTGTAGAGTACTTTGCAGGGATATAATGCAAGTCTCAAGTATATCATATTTTTTATTTAATACAAGTATTTTGACTTATTTCAGAGTCTTTGGAACAAATTTTTCCAGGATAAAGAGCTGCGAGCAATGATTGAGCAAGATGTGACAAGAACGTAAGTAGCTTTTTGAGAAAAAAAATATTACAATTTGAACTTTTTTTACATCATGTTTTCTTTGCCTAAATTGATATAGCATAATACAAAGGTGCTAAGAACACATGAACATGGAAACACACATACACAGTGTATAAAGAGAAGTCTGTCTTTGACTCTGTCTCTGAGAGAGAGCAGAAAATATTCTTGAATTAAATGTTATACTGTAAGGATTTGTTGGTATCACTGAAGTGAAGCTCTTCTCAATTAAGATTTAGGAAATATTATATTAAATTTAAAATACAGTTTTCTGTAGGAAACAAAAAGAAAAGAGAAATTGACAGGTCTTTTGACTAAATTATGTTCATAATAAAAGATTGAACAGATGATTTTCTGTAATTCTTAACACTTATTCAATCAATAATAGAAAAGCAGTGTGTAATTAGTTAGAAAATGTCATTCATCTAGAGAAGTTTAGCATTTCTATTTTTATGCATCACTTTTCTAGTGTTGTCACAGATGCCTTTTTAAAAAATTACCCTACTATCACTAAGTATCTTTTTATCTCCTTGGCCTCAAGTGATTCCTGTTTAGGAACTTATTTGTGTTAGAACACTCACTTCCTGAAAATATTTTCCCAGAGTTAAAACACTGACTCTAATATGTATAAAACAATTACATTTAATTACAGCTTTGTTAAACATGTACCATTCTCCTGTACTGGATTGCATACATTCTTTTATGTTTTAAACAAAAACAGTGGTGGACATACTCTTAAAATTCATTTACAATATACATTTACAAAGTAAATCAAATTCACTTACAATAAAAACATTTTTACAGAGTAAGTAAAGGTCACTGACAATTTTCTGGAATATCTTGAACATCCATATTTGGACCGATTTTATCAAATGCATTTCTGCCTATGGATTTATAATAGAATCAGAGTATGATTTCATGTAAATTTTCATGGATAGTATTTCTTTTGTTTGTAAATGGTAACAGTTCAGCATGTTCTAATATTAAAATATATACATACATAAATTGTAAAAGGGAAATGAAAATTGATATAGTATTAGTTTGGGACAGTTGTTAAAAAGAATGCAAGATCCAGACTACTGTTCCTCTGGTCTAGTTAACTGTCCAGGTAGCACAATAATTTTGGATAAAGAACATTTTGTTTGTATGTAATTATCCAAAATGGCGTCTACTTCCAGCAATAATGGAGAATATCAGAAGTCATCAGTATAATTGTCAAAGTAACATTAATTTGCCTATATTGGACACCTTATGTCCTGAGGTTGTGTACTTTTTGTAGCGTAATTAATCATGAAATATGTTGTTCATGTGTAATGTAGGCAAGTTAATATTTCAGTGAAAGTATATTTTACATTTCCTTACTTGGGTTTCAACATACTTTTATTTAATACTGTATCTTTTTTTCCTACATCCCTTTTAAAAAGTTGTAGTTAAACTTGTCAGTTCTGTTTGTTAAGGTACATCAGCTAGAAGTTGAAGCAGTTTTGGAAAAAGTGTACTAAACTTGCCAACTTCTGTGTTTTAAAAGTGTGTGTGTGTGTGTGTGTGTGTGTGTGTGTGTATCTCTCTTCCTAGGTAAAATGCCCCTACAATCAACAGAATAAACTAATTAACTTGATGTGTAGGTGAAATAGCGATACTAGCTCTATAAAGTATCATCAGCAAAAGTAGGAAAAAATTATTTTGTGTAATCTTTTACCTAGAGAAAATTAGTTTCAACTAGTGCAACAATAATCAGCTTTAAATTAGCGTACAGAAATATGGTTTTTAATTTGGTGGAGCTTCAAATGGTCCTAATATTTTACTATCAAAATTTAAATAAATGAATAGAGAGTTGAATTCACACATTTTGCTACCATTGTAATTAGCTGAAAATATTTTTCTGAAAATCTGGATTAACCCAGTAGCCCCCCATATAGAAGGGCAGCAGAAAAATATACCTACACTTTGCCTTTTTTGTGTGTTACACTGGTTTCAGAATCGTCCACCAAGAGGGAATGTCACATTGTAAACATGGTTTCATTAGTCCCTGCTATAGTCTTAGCACTTATTCTGTATAATAAGAACCAGTTTTGTAAAGCACTTAATATTTTTTCCTGTTAAATCAAGCAAAGTTCCTATTCTGCAATAAAAACTATTTGTAAGTATTGACGTCATTGTTAAGTAATTATGTAGTTAGTGATCAGCACAACGTCTAAATTATGATGTTTCTTTTTTCATCATCCAGTAGCTGAGACTTATATCAAAATGGATTTTTCCTTCAGCTTCCCAACAACATTCACTTCTGAGCTGTAACCATGTTCAGATCATTTGTCTCCAAATAAGAAGCCTTTCAGAAGGCCACGGCTAAGAGAAACTGGGTGGTTATAATGAAAGTTCTGGCCTAACTTTAATTATATATAGAAGCCAATACCAGGCTACCAGTATAATACTATGTTCTATTATTCTCCTAGAAGAGAAACTCCTATCGGAATATGCACAATGGTTACGTGCAGTAGACCTGAGAACATTGTGATTAATTACTGTCATTCAGTAAATGCACTAAAGAACAATACTGTTGTTATCTTCTAATAACAAAAAAAATAAAAACTAAAGCACAATTTTAGAAGTTCTCCCTAGACTTGTCTTTGAAACCAGTAGTGTTGCATAAGATGCAAAAGTTTTATTTTATTGTTATAAAATGTATACAAATTCCTTTGTGAAGAAGCATTGATGTTCTGAGTCTGAAATGCTAGTCGTCCTCACTAGCCTCACTTCTTTTCTTTTAAGCTATGAATTGGACTAAAATTTACCAATTTTAATTCCCCCTACCCAAACAAGTTCCTAAATAGAAGCTGAAGCTCAGTAAAGCTCAGCAAGACCTTTCCCTCACTCTGACGTCTACCTTGTTCCACTGTCTATAACTTTGCACTCTCCCCATTGCTGTTTGTGATAGATAAATTATCTGAGGCCTGGCCCCTCTTCCCTCCGTTGAATAAATAAAGTTCAGTATTCAGGATTTACATCTCTGGAACTGTCTTTCTCAACAACACCGAGTCATTCCATTATAACCTGTTCCCAATATCCCTCACCACTGAAAAATTCTTTTGAGGATGCCTAGATGTTCGTTTCTTACCAACTCCCCACAGTCATTTGGATGTTTCCATATCCGTGGGGAGAGGGAAACAGTTTTTCTCCCTTTCCCACACCCCTTTTCCAGTTCTTTAAAATAGCAGGATTGTCTACTGCTCAGGTGGCTTGTACTCTGTTTGGCTTTTATTAGCCATGCTGCTGAAGTAGATGAACTATCCACTATGTAGTCAGGTTATATCAGTGAAAAGAAAAAAATAGGTAGTTTCAGAACACCCTGAAATAACTTTTACACTAGCCATTCATTCATGCTGGTCTTTACTTTTAGTCGTCATAATCTTCAGTAAACATTCATATGTTTCTACTAACTGCAGTAAAACATGATCATTCAATAGCTGATTTTCATGTGGTCCTTCCCTAGCATTAAGTTAGATTTATTACCCTAGCATTTTCTTAAAATGGTTCCCGCTCTTCTGGATGCGAGAATGCTACACTTCTAAAACAGCTTCTAATTGCACAGTAACATTCTTTCTGAACTGATAGTTCCCTCTTAACCTTCGTGATCACTAGCTTTTTGCATTTGCCATAATGAATACTTAAGCTGTCTTATGCATGAATTCGTTGTAATTCTTCCTAAATCCTCATGGATAGCTGTGTATTTTCAAATTTTATTTGTTAGTCTCTCTTCCCTAAACTACACAGGACAGGCCTGAATAATAGTCCTTCATAAATAATCTTTTCAAAACCCTAAATTATGCTGATTGCCATCTGCTGCACTGTACCTTTTCAGTCTCCGCTGTGTCCTTCCTTTATAGTAATGTGATTACTACAAGTGCGTACAAGTTTCCAAATGCTGGTATACCTCTTTCAGATGCCAGAAAAATGTTGCACTCTTCATACCAGGACTCTTGTCAGGATTTTTGCTGACCTCATATTCATGTCCCCTAACTCTGTGCTTTGATATTTAATCCTTTTGATTTGTTTTTATTATTAAACTTTAATTACCATTGTGAGGAATGCACAGTGCTGTTTATTCTAAGGATTTTATTCAAATTCTCATCATAATTAGTATTTTTCTTAGGGTATGTCTATACTGTAGATTGCAGTGTAGGTAGTGATACTGAAGCTAATTTTAAGTGAGCTAGCCCTGCCCAGAAGCAGCCTAACGGTAACAGCACAGAATCCACTGTGGGCTAATTTAACTTGCCATGAAGGAGAAAAATTAGCCTGTACTGATCTCTGTGTTGGTTTGAGTAGATTACTTTCGGTACCCATGTTAGCTCAGGTATCTCCACAGAACGCTAAAAGCTGTACTCCAGGGATATACCCAGAACCTGAGCAGCTTGTACCATGTGAATATGAAAGAAGCTCAGCTTCGTTTTTAAGGAAATTTCTATCTCTAATTGTGGTGGAGGAAAGCATGAAACTGGTGTGAATGGCTCAGAAAGTTTCAGAAAAACCCAAGGTACATGAAATGAACTCAAAGTGTGTTTAAAAAAAATCTCATGATTTGCAAGCTATACCTGTTATTCTTTTATTATGCATGGTTGGCAATATGATATCCATTTTGCAGCTGGTTAACCTGAGGCACAGTGTTGCCTGTGGTTGCACGGTAAGGCTCAGCAAGACTGACTTAAAACTAGACATAGGAGCCAAGCGTCCTGTGCTATCCACTGCATCATATGCCCTAAAAATTTTACTATTTACATGAGGCTTTTAGTTTTTAGAATTGTTATAATCTGTGGTATAGTAGAACCTAGAGGTCCCATTGTGCTATAATTGCATCCACAATCACCCATGTATTTTTCTCGAGGAAATATTTCTTGTGTTTCCTTTTAAGCAGGGTTCTCTTATTATTTTAGGTGTTTACTTTTCCACTGGATGTTTGGACATTCCCAAATTTTTTCATTAAAAAAAGACTTAAATTACTTTCTTTACAAAATTAAGTCTTAAAAATGTGTTGTACCACATCTGTTCCTGGAGTTACATCCCCAGGGCCTTCTTTCCTCATTAATATCTTTTGAGGGGACAGGATCACGCTATGCTTGTCCTAAAATGCATTAAAAATATTATTTGGTTTTCTGGTAAAAATATATGTTCACCTAAAGTTTGAGGTATTTTTAAAGAGGTAACTTCAGTCCTTCACACTTTATCCCATTTTTAATCTAACCCAAGCAAAAGCAATTCCATGAATACTTGTAGCATGATAATTCTGACAAGTTATATAGTGTTATCATGTATAAGAAGAAAATGCCATATTTGAATAGCTACAAGAAAATAGCAACTGTTGTTTATGTTTTCAGATTGCTAGAGATAGACAGTTAATACACATGAATGACTGATTTTGTGTTCAGCCATCCTGTGTAATATATCCCATATGTTTGCCTGTGTACAAATAACTGGGTTTCATATATGTGCTTTTTCACACATGAAATCTTAAATACAAGGGAGCCCTTGAAAATTGTCAGGCAGTGCTGCATTTATTTTAAACAGGGAACATGGAAGAAAATATCAAAAACCATTCTGTTATCAAGTAACACTACAATTCTTCTGAGTTACCCTTTCAAAATAGTTCTCTTCCTTTTCTCCAATCCTCCCCCTTTTATTTGTATTCTTTTCTGTGTTAGCATTTCATATAGTCACTCATGCAAGTCTATTCTCAGCTTCAGGCTGCTTTGTTTGTGTACTGATTTGTAGAGAGACATCTTGTATAAGTTCGCTTTAGTGCATTTTCTTTGTCTGTCTGTCTGTCACTCAAGCAAAGAACAGATTTATACAATCATGAACTGTTTGCAACTAGCTACACAATAATATTTACATTGTTCTAGTTCTTAATGCTTATGTAGCAGCTTTTTTCCCAACTTCTTGGCATCTTGAATTTCCTATCCCTTAACATTTTTAATATATCTAGAGTTCATTTTCTTGGGTAGTAAAATATTAAGGTATTATATAGGACTGCCTGCCCTTTGTGAACATGTAGGCTGGGGACAGAAATGCAACATAACAGAAGTTTAGTGCACATAATCTGCTTTTAATGTAGCCAGAACCAGTTTAAGATAAACCTGGATGGATAAAGCATCAGACTTAACTGATTTAGGTTAAATCCATTTATTTAACTTCTGTCCCCAATTCAAGTCAACTCACAGTCCCTCATCTCTTCTGCAAACCACCTCACCCCACAGGGTAGGTGGACTAGCCCTGGCCCAATGTGTCTGCTGTAGCTGATCATGGAGGCGTGCTCTGGTACCCCCTGGCTTCTGGGCTGCGCCAGTGCAGGCATATGGCTACATTTCTGGAATCAAAAGTGAATGTCTGTTCACTTGCTTATTTGTTTAGTCTACGCAGCTTAAACTAACCTGCGAAGATCGAATCAATTTAGCTTCAGGCTGTTAGACTGTCTATACTTAGCAGTAAAGCCTAGTCATCCTTCACCATAGAAAGTTTTAGTAGATCTAGTATGTACAGGATCTTGCTAAATCCCAAGTAGTTCAGGACTTCATCTCATTGTGAGTACAGCTCCCATTAGCACATGATTAGGTCCTAGAATTTTGTGCAACTTAGGCTATTTTAAGACATTTTAATGGCTTAATGACGCTTATTAAAGTATCCTTGTAAAATTACCCTAATTATTTTTTTATATCAAACTAAAGGCTGACACATATATCAATAATCAAAGTGATATACAGGAAATACAATTAGAAATTATATAAACTAGCTAATGTACCAGAGCAGCTATACCCTTTATAAGGGCTTCTTCTGCCACTTTTTATGTTGGAAAACATGGCCATCAGGACTGAATACTGATCTTGAAACTGAACAGTAGTCTTGATACACCAGTTATGGTTGACAACCTAAAGCAAATGCAAGGAATGCAAGAATATATGTCGTATACAAGTCATTGGTAGTTATTTGAGACCTGGGGCTGGGGTGGCGCAGGTGTTGAGGCACATGCAGTTGACATCCCAGAGATTCTAAATTTGAGGACATGGCAGACGTGGCTAACAGTGCGGCCCTGTTATTCCAATGAATATGAAAATTCTGCTAAATACCTTGTCACAAGAACACTAAAAAGGAAGGATAGGATTTGAGACCTATATTATTTGTCTAAAATTTTCCCAGATATCAAAATCAAATGTTTGAATGATTCATAGTCTCTTCAGTTATAACTCCTTATTTGTAGAAATATTCTTAGGCTCTCTTGAATCCATTATGCAGGACCAGTCAATTGGTGTAGTGTTGGAACCAGGCTGTAAGTGGGAATGTGGTTACATACCACTGCACCGTTTTAAAGGAGACAGTTCTCTTATTCCCTGTTCCTTCTTTAGCAGCTGCTTCAGCCACTGCCACCTATTCTGCATATCTTTGTTGCTTGTTTAATGTCAAGCAGCACTGTAATGAGACACCCTAAATATACTATACCGCAGACAAGAGTTAATGTGAAGAGGGCATTAGCTGTGTTTGTCTGAAGTCAGGCAGAAGATGGAGCAATGACACCTTACAGACCTAATTAATTCAGACAAGCATAAGCTTTCCTAGGCAGCAGCTTACTTCATCGTATTCTTGGCATTCAGAGATGCTTTGATGAAGTAAGCTGTTACTTACGAAAGCATATGCCTCTGAGTTAGTCAGTCTGTAAGATGCCACTGTACCCTGCCTTCTGAAGGTAATATAGCCATGATTTGCTGTGCTACACAGGAGCCATGCTTCAGCAGGATTCAGTGCCAAGTGGGGAAAGGTTTTCTTTATAGAAAATGCCAATTGAACCCATATTTTGGACAGCTGGGGAAAATGGTCTTATGTGAGAGATGTCTGTCTCTGACAAGGTACTCTAGGGGTGAACCTATACGTGTAACTATGGTAGAGCAAGTCACTCACAGACACGATGTCTACAGTTGCTCCTGGGGCTGCAGCACTTGGAGCTGGGGTGGAGCAGACCTGGGCTGGCCAGGGTCCCAGATGGTCAGCCCCAGGCTCCAGGTGGCTGCAGCTGACGATGGAGGGGCTGGCTAGGGCATGACAGTGCTAAAGTGCAGGGCTGGACAGCAGCAGCCCTCCTGTACTTCAGCTCCCTCTTGCCCCAGCCAGCCCCTGTCACTGTTTACATGTGCATTTCAGTGCATGTAAGTACTCCTCCGTAAGATAGTACTTTCCTCAACAGTACTACCTTATGGCAATGTTAATTTATTTACCACGTCTTAATCCGTATGTGAATGATGACACTTTGCTGTGGAGCTAATTAGTCTACTCTGCAGTAAAGCGCACATGTGGATGCACCCTAGGACAATCCCATTTTCAGTGGATTGGTCACCTGCAAAAAATGACAGTCAGAATGATCTACTTGACACTTGCTTCATTGTAGTGATGGCTAGCCTATCAAAGGATGTCATCCATTTAAGGAGAACTAACAATTGGCATTTATTATAATATTGAAAAGTATGTGGTTCAGAATGTTGTTTGCGAGACAAATATACCATTTAAAAATATTATTCTGTAACAACCGCAAAAAGATAATGAAGAACAGCTATAAAGTCTTACCTAGAACTGCTTGTAGAAGCCCAGGTGTAGATCTAAATCAGGTGCCTGAGAGAGTCTTTGTGAGCTTTGTTGTTTCCTTCAGTAGAATATATTTTTTCTTTTTTAGATTTCCTGAAATGCAGTATTTCCAGCAAGAGAATGTGAGAAGAATTCTTACAGATGTTCTGTTCTGTTATGCTAGAGAAAATGAGCAGTTGCTTTATAAACAGGTAATGAAAATATCATACAGGTGGCATCCATTGACTCAACATTTTCTATACAGCTTGACAAATGATTGAACAATAATGTAGGTTTTATTGTATCCAAAGTTGTATCATAATGCTAAAGCAATCAAAGAGCTGCTTGTCAGTTGCATGGTAAGGAAAGTAAGCTTATTCAAGCACATATGCTTTCCCCCCTCATTCCCTCAAAACCTTCTTCTATAAGGCTGCTAAACCTTACCTTCCAACTTTTTTGAATAAGTCTTTTGTATAAACAGCTTCTCTCCAGGCTCTAGCCCAAGACAGTTTTCTATGCTTAGATAAATACTGAACATATATGTCCTGCAGTTATAAGTATGGTAAGTAGCTGGTTCAGATTTAGACAAAATCAAATGGTTTCAAATCATATGTAACATTTCAAGTTATTCTGTGGTTTCTTCAGCATGATAGACAACTTCTTGTTCGTGTTGGATCCTTTGCAGATTGTGTAGTACCAAAATAAAATGCAGTATACAGGATGTTTCTGAAACATTTACTTTTTCACCAGTAGGGTTGCTAATATCAGTTCCACAGCATTGCCAGATGCTAAAATCCCTGCATCTTACTTTTAAAATTAGTGAAAGATCATATTTCATTCAGTTGAAAAATTCATTTGTTGTGTGATACAATCTCAATTAATTCCACGTGTACTCTTTTAGTTTTTTAAATGAACGTAAACTTTAAAACAAATTGCTCCAGCAAGACTAATGTATATTGAAAGAGAATCATAGACATAAGTATATTTGTGTGTTTCCAATTAACACTGCACACTGTTATGAAACTAAGAAACTAAGTAATATAGTATGTGTGGAAAAGAGTAGGCTGAAGAACAGCTGTAATTAGAAAATGATTCAGAAAAAATGCAGTCTTTTAATAAATTTACAAATATTTTTAATAGACCGCATGCTTTAAAATGTGTTTTACAGCTACCCCCTCCCTAACCAAGGAAATTGCGTCTCATGGAAGAGACCAGCACACCTGATTTGAAATAGCAGTAGCTTATCAAAGTTCTCTGATAGATGATATGAAAAATCAAGTATATAGTTATCAAAAGTAGCAACTCTTGATTAGTTAACTATTTTTTTTATTTTTAATGGAATGTGAGTAGACACTAACCTTATATCAGAAAGAAGAAAAAATAAAAGATCAGGAAGATCAGTATATTTCAGGGCACGGCTATAAAAAATGTTTTAGAAGTACTCAGCTGCCTCATTTCTAGTGCATATAAGCCAGAGTACTTGTGATGAGGTGATGGGGAAATGGAAGAATGCATTCTAGCTAATTTGGTCTATTATTTATTGAACAAGAAATATTATTTTATTCTTTGATATGACTTAAAAGAACTTAATTACCCCCTGCTTATGTTTAAAATCCTGTAGATTCCTTACAGAGAAATAATACCTTGCTACATAAGGATTGAATATTTAGCCAGATCAAATTTAAAAAAAAACAACCCTCTAAGCTTCATCACAAGCTGTTAAAGCTATTATTTTGTACTAGGTGACACCCCGTTTAACATAGACCATATTGTTAATAGTTATGGGATTTTATTGAATTAATGAGACTGTTATCATGTAGTAGAATGTCTTGCTGAGTTAATTGAAACTGCAGAGATTATATAAATGGTATTAATGAACTTTGACTGCCTGATGCCTCAGCTTTAATAAAGACTGCTTGGTGGGCTAAATGAACATAGGCAGATAAAAGAACAGGTTCAATTTTGTGAGCCTACAGGCTGTTGACAAAGAAAACTTCTTTACCTCTGTTTCAACTAGTGTTACTGGAACAGTGCAATAATTTCAGAAAAGGATTGCCACAGGAGTAAAGGGAGTGGTAAAGGGCAGAAAAAAGATGAATTTGAATGATGAAAGCATGGCTGTTTATCTTTGAGGGTTTGTTTCAGTATCTAAAAATGATGGTGCAGTACTAGATAGTGATTTTTTTTTTTTAAAGCCCTCCTTTAGACCCTTCTAATTTTCTTAGAAAGATCTTTACCCCTTTCCCAACTTGTTCTGCATTTCCAGTGTCTTCCGTCTTAATGTCTCCACAATTATCTTCCACATTAACCATCTTGACTTTGTTTGGCCCTCCTGCCTGTAGATAACTGTCTCATTCAGGGGGACTGTTTCATGGATTAGCTGCCAGGAAATGCTGTGAGTACAGTGAAGTCAATAAACCTTTTAATCTCTCTCAACCATATCAGTTTACCTGTCCATGGTCAGATGCCTTATTTGTAATCAGGCTTCATTCATGACTGAAGCTAGTTTTAATTCAGTTCTTATCTAGGAATGAGGCCTCATAACTCAAAATAATTTTAACTATTACAAAAAGTAGCAGTTTATCTGCCAGGCAATAAAGGTTGCCATTAATGCATCATTAACACATCACCACACGCTACACTGATTGAATATAGGGTCCAGTTTAATGCATTTGCCCTCATAATTCTAAGTACATCAAGGGACTTGCTCTTGCTTCCTATGAGATCTCTGCTTTCATGTTCATGAGCGCCTTCATTTTTCTGAACAGTGCAAAAATTGATCTAGGTGGAAGGGAGCTCTCAGGCATGCATCAGAAAGCTTTTTATAGGAACTGGACCTAGATACCACAGCTCATTCCTGCAATGAACAACCATAAAGTTATGACTTGTTTTAGAATTGAAAACTAATTATTTATTTTTCTTGCAAATTTTATATACATGAACACTCACACTCAAATAAAACATTTAATAAAGCTTTTTCTCCAGGAGCTTAGCACAGAAGAGGAAGGTTATTTTATTTTAAAATATTTTGGAGGCAATCTGACTTTGGAATTACTGGGTACTTGTAAACCTAATAGATGGTGGCTGAAGTTCACAACATTGAGATTGTTACTGCACTTGACATTATTTAAATGAGTGTTTGTACAAGCAATCCACACGTTTATTCCATATGTGTACATGTATGTGTTGTCTTTGCAGTAAGCTTATGGCTTTTGACCATTGTAAAACATTTTTTATTTTTTCACAGGCCAAAAAAGTTGCCCTGTACTCAAATATGGGAATAAAAAAAAATCTTCACAGTTTTTACTTTTATCCCATTTGAGATTTTTTTTTTTTTAATTTTAAAAAATCAGTTGTACTTATAGCTATATGAAAATTGCCTTTGCCTATAAATTTTATCAGAAAAAATGTAGCTCTTGTTAAACTGAAAAGATGCAATAATAGCTAAGCCAAGCCATCCGGTCAGCAATTGTTCACTTATAATTTGATTGTCCTTACATGAATCAATATAGTGTTGAAATGCATTGATTCATATTTCAGTGGTAGTACTGCTGTATTTCATTTTTTTTTCAAAATCAGAAACTATTATGAAATCAATATTTTGCTGTAGTTGGCAAGTGTCATGAAATTATCTGCCTGCTGTCAACCCTTATTTTAACACTAAAGAGTTTTACTAAACTGTTGATGTATTGCAGGAAAAAAGGTATGTATACATAGTACACTGTGGGTGCATCTACACATGCCACTGAAGTGCAGCAATAAACTGCAGAGCTTATTGCTCGGCAGTTTATGGCTCCTAGGAAGCTCCTGGGCATGCAGTTTACACATCTGCTGGGACTGCAGTGCGTTAAGCCAGGCTGCAGCAGCCCTGGCTGGCAGAGGGCCCAGGGGGTCAGCCTGCAGGCCCCTAACTATACGAGTGGCCCTCCTCTGAACCCTGGGACTGCTCTGACCAGGCTCAGTGTATTGTGGAGAGGCTGTCTGGGGTGCAAGAGTGCTTCACTGTGGGGCAGTGTGAAGCCCCAGCACTGAAGCACCTTCGTGCCCCAGCCAGCCAGCTCAGCATCTACATGTGTGCTGCTGTGCACGATAAAACTCTGCAGTAGGGTAGGATTTGAACTTATTAGTTTTGTATACCCTGAGACATTTACTACACCGTTAATTAGTCAACTGCACAGTAAACATCTCGTATAAACACTCCCTGTGGCTTCTTTTCCCAAGCTAAAACTCTAAATATTTAAAGTGGTCTCTTAAATGAAGGAATAGCTCTGTTTTGAAATCCTGATATTTTCTCAGCCTCTATTTTTTGTTATATATAGATGATCACATTGTGATTTGCTTTATTTCCAAATTAACATATGAAAATGTTGGAAGATGGGGCTGTGTTATTCTCTTATTTTTATAACTAATCCTACCTTATGTCTTTTTTTCCAAACTGCAGAACAAGAATATAAATTTACTATTTAGATAATGAATTTCTTATTAACTGTATTTTAACAACCTCATGTCTGTCTGTCTGTCAGACAAATATACATTTAAAACTAACAAAATGCATGTAGAATTACAGTCTGTGTTGCTTGCAGTTTATATAGGTCTTTTTGGCACTTTGGTCTGTCTCCCAATCCTTTGACGTTCTGTTTGCAGTCTCTCCTTCTTACCTTTCTCAGTGCTGTAGGTTGTCCTTTTTTTTTCCTGTCTCCAAAATCTAGTGTTACTAACTTTCAGCCTTATATGTGAGTCTTGCAATAGCTCCTGAAAAGAAAGCTGAGATTTTCACTTACTCATTTACATTTTTTTACATAGTTTGTTGTGCTCGTGGCTCTTGAAAAAAGTCTGAAAATACAGCTCAATTGCCCTCTAAAGACTCAGGGGTGTACTTGGTAGCTGTGTTGGTCTGAGACAAAAAGACATACAAAAAACTAGAACTCTTGGTTCCAAAATGATACCTTTTATTAGACCGACTGGAAAAAGGCAAGAACACTGTCCTTTTCTTCAAGCTTTAGCTTGCTCTAAAGACTCAGAAAACAATGAAGAAAAGCTCCAGGGTTTTTTTTAAGATGTTGTGGTTTTTAAGCCAATCTCATGATTTTTTTGTTGGGGAGTAGGGTTCTGATTATTTTTTTAAAGATTAGCCCAAGGCTGCAGTCTGTCCCACCAAGCCCACCCTGCAGCATCTCTCTCCTCTGTTGTCCTCTTATGACTCACATGCACCCCCCTACAGTGCCCTGCTGACCTGTCACATTGGTGACAGTGTTGAACAGCACGTATCTTGATTATGGGACTCTCATACCTCCCACTCCCTCCAAGAGTTTTGGGAAAGTTCTTGTGCTGAAGGACCCAGTTGCTTGTGCTCATCTCAATGCTTAACTTCATGTGTTACATTCCTAAATGAGGCATCATCTTGTGGCAGGAGGCTGGAATGATGCTTAGTAAAGGTGCTACTGTGGTCCACCAAATGATATATGGACTTAGCAGGATAAGAGTGTTGCCACGTGTTGAACACTTACTAAGTCCAATTGGTGTAGGAGTCGCACCCAGAGAGTGGTGGTGGATGGGTCGGTATCGACCTGGAAAGATGTGGGCAGTGGAGTCCAACGAGGCTTGGTCCTTGGACCGGTGCTGTTCAGTATCTTCATCAGTGACTTGGATGAGGGTGTGGAAAGCACTCTGTCCAGATTTGCAGATGATACTAAATTATGGGGTAAAGTTAACATACCAGAGGGTAGGGAATGAATCCAGGCAGATCTGGGCAGGTTGGAAAAACGGGTGGAATAGAATAGGATGCAGTTCAATAAGGACAAATGCAAGGTGCTACACCTAGGAAGAAAGAATCACCAGCACACTTACAGTCTGGGGGAGGACCTCCTCAGCAGCACAGCAGTGGAAAGGGATCTTGGAGTCATTGCTGACACCAAGATGACCATGAGTCATCAATGTGACAAAGTGATCAACAGGGCTAACCGCACTTTATCATGCGTTAGCAGGTGCATAACAAACAGGTTCAAGGAGGTGATACTTCCTCTCTATGCGGCATTAGTCAGGCCACATTTGGAGTACTGCATCCAGTTTTGGGCGCCACACTTCAAAGGGGATGTGGATAACCTCAACAGGGTTCAGAGGAGGGCCACTCATATGGTTAGGGGCCTGCAGGCAAAACTCTGAGGAGAGATTGAGGGCCCTGGATTTCTTCAGCCTCCTCAAGTGAAGGCTGAGGTGAACTTGTGGCCACCTACAAATTCATTAGGGGAAGACAGCATGGAGATATGACCTGTTTACCAAGGCACCCCTTGGAGTAACTAGGAACAATGGCCACAGACTGACGGAGAACAGATTTAGGTTAGACATCAGAAAGAGCTTTTTTACAGCAAGGGTTGCCAAAATCTGGAATAGGCTTTCAAGGGAGGTAGTGCTCTCCCCTACCTTGGGAGTCTTTAAGAGGAGGCTGGACATGCACCTGACTGGGGTCATCGCACTCTTTCCTGTCCAGGGCAGGGGGTCAGACTTGATGTTCTGCTAAGGTCCCTTCCGACCCAAACATCTATGAAACTAAGTGCAATTTAAATGCAAGGAGAGAGAGGTTCAAGCAGTTTAGCATGTGTTAAGTGCCATTCTGGTGTTGCAAAATTGTTTCCCTTCAGGCAGGTTGATAAGAAATTGTGTACTGTCGTTGAGTAGTACAACTATATTTTTGTGCTTTAGCTCCTGAATGTTTATGATTTTGTTTATATGCATTTCTCATTATAAATGGTAAAAATAACTAAAAACCTTCACTGGAGCAATACTGAGTTTTGTCCGTGCATTGTCCATATATAGGTTTCACAATAGGCATAAAACAAACAAACTTAGTTTTAATCTCCGTAGGCATCGATGTCTCCATTTCTAATTCCCCAAATGGCTGCCTTTGTCTTTTCCAAAGGCCATTGATATCCTAGTTTTGCAACATTATCAAATAAAAAAGAATTTTAAATTTTGTAATTTGTCCTTATTGCAGATCTTTATACTGTGGTGCATGATTGTAATTACCATAAATAAAATTCATATTTATGAACATAGATCTTTGGAGTAACTGCCAGGTGCAGGGTTGTCTACCATTGCCAATTTGTTGTCTGTTCTGTTAGAGAAAGAGAGAATAACTTGCTTCCCATATATTACAGGAGAATAAACACTTGGATTTAATCAGAATTTAACATAAAAACCATTGATTATGAAACCACTCTGTTAAGCATGCAACTGTTCATGCTTTTACATTTTGTACTGCTAATATTATTGGCTGCTAGATGCTGAGGTGGAGCATCATGAATGAAGACCTTGGTGTAATTTTGTTTCCTTTTATCTTTAGGGTATGCATGAACTTTTAGCGCCGATAGTCTTTATCCTGCATTGTGACCACCAAGCTTTTCTACATGCCAGTGAAGCTGCTCAGCCAAGGCAAGTGATGTGTAATTATCCATTTAATGTGCAAGTGTTGTATTTTTCCATATTTATATACATTTAAGAATTAATCTATATATTTTTCCTTCCATTTTTTTCTTTCTTTTATTAAATAAAAACATACTGGCTTTAAAGTCTATAAAAATAAATCTGATTGCAAAATGTTTAATTTTTCATATATATGTTATTTTTCATCATGCCTCTATAAGAGATCAAAAATCAAAGGAAACTTCTGAGGCAGTTTTAAAGAGTAGCAGTAATTTTCAAATACTAGTTGCTGAAAAAAGAAAGATGGGCCCCCTAGAGGAAAATATTAAACTAGAGGTTTCACTGAACAGTGCAAGTCAGAAGTGGTTTGATCTTTGTCACTGAAGGGAGTAGGCAGATTACAGAGCCCAGTCCTGACAGATGAGTTGTTTATCAGTATGTTCTTGTATTTTTTTAAAAATGAGTACATTGCAGTGATTGATAACTTTTCTGTTTCTTAAAAAATTGTACATGAATACCACTTGACTTAAAAGTGATATTAAGTTCAGATGTAGATTTTCCATATCATGCAAATAGCATTTATATAAATATTATATCACATATGATTGTCCCACAGCTAAATTCAGATGCTCTTGATTCTCTCACCCTGTTGATAAAGATTTTACTTGTTTTTTAAACAAGTTGCCTGTTGAAATCATTTATGGCCATGCAGCCATATTTTGCAGTTGTCTTACTGCATTTGCTCTTGGAACCCAATAGCATTAAAACCCAATTTAATTACCCCTGGAATAAAGTAGCTTCCATGGGCAGTGTTAGCGTAGGACTGCATTGTACTTGTATGTGTTTATTTTTTTATTTAACATCTATCTTTAGAAATCTTGTAAGTTATATGCAAGATGTTTTTCAGTAGCTAGTAATGTGCAAGATACCTAAATTAACCATGTAATATACAGAGCATTCCATGCCATCCCACTGAAAAAAGTGGAGCAAAAAAGCAAATTAGATGGATAAGAGGTGCTGTCACTGATTAATTGCTGTTAAAATACAATAAAAATAGAAGCTATTAAAGCAAAATAAATTAATGTTTTGATATTGCATATTTGACCAGTAACCATATTTTTTTGTTTTGGACAAACAGTGATAGATTGTGCAGTAATCAATTATTCTAGATCAAGCATATTCAAATAATACATTGTGACATTCAGTAATTTGTTATTTGGAATAATTAGATGGTTACTTCATTGTAGTGCAGACAAGGCAGCTAATTTGTTTTTGATCTTTTTAGAAAGGAAAGACTTCATTTGTTCAATGGAGTTGCTCTTTTTAATTAAAAATGGCTAGTTTTCTCATTTGCACTTTATATGAAAGTTGGCTTATAAATATATAATAGTACATGCAGAACACTGACCAAAAATAAACATTCAGATTTTGATTGTTCACTGTTGGCTTTTTCAGTGAGGAAATGAAAGTTCTTTTGAACCCTGAATATCTGGAACACGATGCCTAGTAAGTTTAACAGCTTTCTGTTGTCTTTACATTTCCTTTACTTCTGCTTGCAATACATTATTTAACGTTAAATTTCCGGATTCTTTTTCCCCTTAGTGCGATGTTCACACATCTTATGGAAACTGCGGAACACTGGTTTTCAACTTTTGAGCATGACAGTCAGAAGGTAAATACTGTTGTAACAATACATTTATAGTACTGCAAACAAATGTGATTTTAACACGGTAAATTGAAATATGTTTAGATTAACACTGTGTGTCTTAGCCAAGTTAAAAATAAGCTCTTGGAAATTTCGTGTGCGTCTGGGCTGCCCTACTTGTGGGAAGTTGTTGGTTGAGTGCTTAGCTTTGTTGAGTGATAACTTTGAAACTGCAGTTCACGTTGTTTGACATGCAGTGTTGAGTATCATTTTGCAGACGAAGCATTTGAGTTTGTTCTGGGGAGATGCTTCTGTTTTGCATGCATTTTTTGACCCAAGTAAGCTGTGAGTAGGTCCACTGCCTACCCAATTAGTAACTAAGGCTCCCTGAACTTAAATGTGCGTGATTGCATAGTTAAATGGATGTACAGGAGTTTTTAAACTATTTAAGGGCTTTATTTGCCTTTAATCGTTTACAATATACAGGGTTGCTGTGATTCTTAGACTTTTGGTCATTTGCCACTGTATTATAAAATGGGATCTGCCAAAATTTCCATTCTTAGCTACACCAGTGAAAGGTAGTAGGTTTTTTTGTGTTGTTTATTTACTTCAGTGCAGTTAGATCAGTGTGAATATCTCTTCCCCATCCTGCCCCTACCCCCAACCTCTTGACCATCCACAGTGCAAATCAGCCATCTCAAGGTATTTCTTGTAAAGACCTACTTGGTCTGTTTTTCTCCTTTATGAAGTTGCTCCTTTTCACTTCAGCAAGTACTAGATGCCAATGGCATACCATTGTTCAGAGCTGACGACAAAAGTCCTCATGGCTTTGTCTAAATACTTTCCAGAAAAGTGTCTCTAAAACTGAAATTCTGTTTTCGAACAATGAGGTTTTG